TCTAGTTGAAGATGTCCCTGCCCATGGCGTGGCGGTTGGACTAGATGACCTTTAGAGGTCCCTTCCAACCCAAACTATTCTATGATTCTGTGCTACTGCGAAGCTGATTTCATCATCTAGACTAAAAGAGAGAGCTCCTACAAGAAGGTCCTTTCTTCAAAGTACAGAAAATGCATTGGTAAATGCTTTATTTATTCACTTATTTTAAAAAGTAAGCAGTCACTGAATGATTAATATAAGCCCATGTAGAAAATCTGTTCTTGTAATTTTTTTCACGTCAATATTTGCAAGTACACATTTATTTTATGAAAGGAGTAAAACTAAAAATAAACAAATCCTCTTAGCTAGTCATGTAAGAAACATGTAAAGCATAGAAGTAGCTCTGCTGAAATCTGAATTTGAGGTTCCTGCACCCATTGCTAATTGTCTGACTATTCTGAGTGGGCTGAGTAATCCTCCGTTGACTTAGGCAGTCAGTCCTGTGCGTGCCCCAGAGCAGTTATTGCTGTTGGATGCCAGAGGGGAATTGGTGAGTGTTTAGGGTGAACCATTGCTTTTGAGAATATATGGGGTGTCCAGAATTAGACTTGTTTTGGAAGTTGAAAATGTTATTTTGTGACTTGCTCGTCTTGGGGGATGGATGAGAGGTGGATTTCTGGAAATACGATGTGCTGGAGAAATGAAAGAAAGGCTGGATTTAGCCTAGTTTCTTAGGGAAACTAAGCTTGTGTCAGCAAGCTGTCTCTTAAGATGGTACCACTGTTCATTTTTTAAATTTAACTCTGCCAATTTCAAACATATTTGTGAGTAAGCTTTTTTAAGTTTCATGAAAATAAGCAGTTGGCTTATTTTTAGTATTTCCATAGAAGAAAAACTTGCAATGTGAATATTGTTTGTTAAATGCTACAGAATCCACATGAGAAAGACCTCCAGAATGCCCAACTACAAATAAAAGAAAAGCCATCAGAAGTCTCACCTTTAGCCACACGTACGACAAGCACAGGAAACCAGACATTGAGTCCCACTGTGCACAGATCGACTTGTTTTCCTCCGTGAGATGTCTACTCTGTCAGTGTTCTTGAGGAGTTGGCCTAAGACTGGTTTACTTAGCTGTATGAAAGAGTACTGTTAATAGCACAACGAAGCGCGTTAAAAGTGCACTCAATCTGAGGTAAAACTGTATAAGCTGTGATACGACACTTCACACTTTTTCCCATCTTTAACTGTCCTTGTTCTTCTCTTAATGCGTATTCCATTTTTTCTGTAAGAATTCTGACTTATTTTCGATATGATAAATGCACAGTGGCGTTGCAGGCAAGAAACCGACTGTTTGCCTTGGAGGCAGTGATACGCAATCTAGCTTTGCAGTGAAACTTCAACCACGCTCAATCATATCAAGCTTGAGAGGGGGCTCATCCTTTGTAGCATCTCCTTTTTCCCCTATCAAGAGAGAGTTCTATTAAGTTGCTGTTTACTAAGTCCTTGTAACTTTTTGGGGGTTAATTCTACCAGAAAAATCCCAAGTCTGTAAAGCCATTTAGTTTACCAGTAGCTTAAACCAGAAAAAAGAAAATACGGACTGGAGAAAATGAAGAGGGAGCAAAGGATTTATGCAGAGTTTCTACGAAGGTTCTTTAGTATTATGTAACCTCATGTTTGTTTTTGATTTGGTTGGTTTGGATGTGTACCACCAACCTTGTGGATGTTTGGGCAATGAATGCTTTATAGTGGACCTTAGCAAACTGGAGGGCAGCTCTGTATAAGCACCTTAATGGGATACTCAAAAACTAGAATAATTTTTGTTGCATATTTTTATCTTCTTGTCTATACTGTTAATGGAGTTTTGCATAGAGGACATCATGCCGAATCCTTTCTTGCCTTGTGTAGTACCAGTGCATAAGATGTCAGGGGCTGATAGTGAAAGCCAAGCCTGGCTGCTGTTAACACTTGAAATGCATTCTCTGTTCTCTGCTGCCTTCTTTTTGAGCCATTCAGGTCATATAACCATCTAGAATCCTCTTCGGCAATTTCCTCTCGTAAGTCCTGCAGCAAGAAACAGTACACCTGTGGCTTCTAATATAATATGGAGGCTTATGAAACTAACACTTAAACCTTTCTAGTGTCTATTAATAATACTCCAACATTATGAATATTGTTGGGTAAAACCCAAGTTTTAAAATATTTCTTATTTCCTTTTCCTCAAATACTGACTTTTTCAACCTAACAGTCGCATAAGGCCAGCTTATGTTCATGCCTACAGTTGTAGTGGGTTTACAATAGGGTAGCTTTTGATGTTTGTATCTTGTCCTGGGAGTCATCAAATACTAGATTTTAAAGTAGTGATATTGTCTGTTTTCTAAAGTTTGCAAAACTTTCTCTGAGATTCAGCTTACCTTCTTTGCATGGAATACAAGATATATATCTGGTTCTGTATCAGAATGATTGATTCCTGTTGGGCCCTGCAAATAAGGGAGCAGGGGGAGCCAATATATGCTTTGTATTATGTGAAGTCTGATGCACACTGTGTAGTGCAGGACTAGGATAACATCAGAATACAGAAACAGTTGGCAGCCTTCAGCCACAGGGGATACTAGATTCTGTTAACATTTTTTTTGAGCTTGCAGCTGAAGTCTTAAGTGTCATGCAAAGAAAGGGTAATATTGTGTGCTTGTGTCTGCCTCTCTGTATGTTGCTAGATCAAACACCTGGATAGGACTTTTAATCTTGATCTAAAATTAAGATCAAATTCTAATGTACTAGAACATGGCTATATTAATTCTCAGAGTATTTTTGCTGTAAAACAACAGATCAATTTCTTGAAATTGTGTTTTTTAAGATTAAATAGATTTTGTGAGAAGGTAAGAAGTAAGATCAAGTAGGAGACCAACAGAGGGAGGGAGAGTGAGAAATGGGTCTCGTTTGTCCATGATGTTGTCTTTTCAAAGCAGACAGAAATAAGCCTGAGGCAGAACTGTTTCCAGTTTTCATTTAAGCTCCACTTTCCTGTTGTTTCCCTAAAGGGATCCCTATAACAGCTAGATTCGAAAAATGAAAATGCACTGCTTTTTTGTTATAATCCAATGCATTTCTGCTAATTTTTTAGTCAGCCATAGGCTTTGTGTTGTTAACCAAGCCCACAAACATTTTTTGCACAATCTACTTGAAAGCAGATCACTTTTATAGAAACCTCCCGTTATTCAAAAGATTCATAAACACCAGACTTTGACATTTGTTGCCAATAGCTGCTAGGTAATCTGCAAAACAATACCACTCATTATTCCCTTAAGTCCTAAGGTCTGTCTGGTTTAGGTCTTGTAACTTTAAGCAGCACCTTGATATAACTTATTATTGAATATGATACCACCAAAACATTCTGTAAAAAACAGGTGGCAAGTTGTTATTTCACAGCCCACAGACACACAGGAGTTGCTAAAAATGATAACTTGTTATTTCAGATTTATCTTTCCCAACGGCTGTCCAATAGCACTTTAAATTAAGCTGCTTTAATGCATATTTAATTTAGAACTCAATAAGCCTAGTCTGAGATGTAGGGCATTTACAAACTAGCTGCTAAAATCCTATGAGGATTACTAAATGTGCTTAGTTACTGATCTGCTATGCATCTTCACCTTTACAGTATAGTAACTCTCAACCCATACTGACTAAGTGAAATTTAATTACATAGTTCTTAGTACCCAGAACAAGTAATTGGGGGCACATGTTAAAATATTGTTATACTACTTTTTTTGCACAAGTTGCATTACCTGCTGTTGCAAATAAATGTCAGTATAATTTTGTAATGAAAACATATTAATGGAGAAAAGTTTTTTCATTGCTTGAACTTATTTCTGGTTTGGGGATTTAACCTTAAATGCAAGACTGACTGTATTTCCTCTCAGCTTGCAAGTAAAGGAATTGGGGGAGAAAAAGTCTGCAGAAGAGGACAAACAAAGAAATGGAGTCACCATGGGCTGCCTATTGCATTATACATTCAATTATTCAATTGTGCATTACTCACAGACTTTCCAAAAGTCTTGGAAAATATACCAGCTCTACGCATCAGTGTTAATCATCTGCTCTTTCTTATCCCCAAAGATGTTATACAATTAGTCACATTCTCTTTCTTTATATTAGAAATGTTCACGTGACATTTAACCAAGACTTAACACTCCAGTAAGCTACAACACAGCAACCTTTGTGCCAGGAATTATGTACTTCCAGTGTTGGCTTTGGCACCGATACTCTTTATGGCTTTATTTGCTTCGTCTAGATACATCAAATATCTGTCCTCTTGTCAGTCTTTTTCATAATCCATCTGTTTTATAATCTGTAAAACATGCCTTATGTAGCAATGATGGTTCTCTAAATGTTCTCAGAGAGAAAAGCCACATGCTATCCTAGACCTTGGGCTATGCATTTGGTCTCGTTTTAATTCTCTGGTAGTATAGCTGTTGATTTTAGTAGGTCTAATCATCATTTACGCTATGGTAAATGAGATGAGAACCAGCTGTTGAAACAATCCATCTGACTGAAACAATAGTACTTTACTTAATAAACTTACCTAACAGTAACATACGTTGATTAACACATACATATTTCTTTTGTCTTTTGAGACTTTATTACTGTAACATAATCTGTCATCTGTGTATGGAAGGCCAATGTCGATTATGTTTGGGAACTGATACCAAGACTCATAATGGTATTTAGGCAATGAACTCCTTGGAAATCCATCCCTGAATGCAGCATATGAGAATGGAAGATGCAAATTAATTAAAGGTGCTCTCTTTTTATTCCAAATACATTTAGAGAATAGTTAAAGTTTATCTGCCTCTTATTTCTATCTTTTCAGTTTTCACTTCTGACATTACATTTAAGTTCTTCAGCAGAAAGGATGTTCATGATTAACCTTCAACATTACACATCGTCGCTGTATGCCTGAACACAGTACGCATCCTGTTTCAGTATCCACTCCACCATTTTAATAGATGCTTTCTTTTCAGGACGACTGAATTGGTGGTCCACAGTGTGTACAAGCTGCAAACGTCTTCTTCCCTTGGCTACAACAGGTGATGGAAACTGCCTCTTGCATGCTGCATCTTTAGGTAAGGGAGATTCTCTACATGAAACCTTCTGCCAAAAATATTTACCACTTTTTTCTATCCCCAGCAAAAGCTCAGAAACACATGGGATGCAGAGACTTTCATTAAAAGCCTGGTTTTGGAGCAATATATTCTTCAAATTTCATTTAAGTATTGTTTGCTTTAGGCATGCTTGAGGGAGGAAGGTAAAAGTTTTATCAGGTTATAAAAGAAGTGTAATTGCAACAGTATCAAAACCCACATATCATAAACACCAGTGATTTGCATTTTCCTTACAGAGATCAACCTAACAGCTCTGGAACAGGCAAATTCCAGGTGCTTCTGCACCTGTCCTCATTGTGGGCAAGGAATTGCATTCATTCTCTGGCTTTTGTTAAACAGTTCTCTTTCTGTCTTCAAGAATGCAATATCTAGCTATTATTGCCATTGGTTCCTTGTAGAGTTTAAGTATATGGGAAATAGACTTTGGGGTGAATTAAAATAATTTCCAATTGATTAATTAATCATTAATACAAGATCTTTGAAGCCTTTCTTCAAATCAAATAAATAGAAACCTGTGAAGCTGAAAGTCTTTGATATGCCTTCTATATCCTAACCTATTGCGAGGAAACTTATTTTTTTGTTGCAGTTGCTAAAATCTTCCACCAGAGGAACTCCAAAAGGTGACTTTTTAAAAAAACACTGGGATTTTTAATATTTTGAAGAGAGTCTTCTTTTTGAAAGAAGTAGTAAGAAAAGGGCTTTTGCTGTTTCCAAGGATCCTTTTGTCTTTGTCCACTTAATTTTTAATTAGGAGGACTTGTGTATTATTTACAGCAAATGTTTGGAGTATTTTGACTTGCAAAGTCTTAAATAAACATATTTAATGCCAGCAGCTGACAATACGGTAATTGAAACGTGGTTGTCTATGGGCACATGTCTTGGTGAGAGCTCTGCTCTCTTTTGTTGTAGGTTACTATTCTCAACTACATGAAGACGTTTTATTATCTTAAAATGAGCTTGAAAGCCTGTGGCTGGTTGTATTTTTAGACTTCCAGTCATCTTGAATGCTCGTCTCTTTATTTGGATGTTGAAGCCAAAGGAAATTTACCATCATGCTGTGTAAGAGTTGGAGGCCTTCGGGTGGTGGTATCATCTGTGATTCACAAAAGTGCCTGCAGTTGTCATTAGCATTCTTGTGTCTGCAAGCTCTGTTGGCAGCTACAGCTAAAACCACCCTGTGCATTGGATATGCCATTGCTTGCAGCACTTTTGTCTTTCCACTTAATTTTTAATTAGGAGGACTTGTGTATTATTTACAGCAAATGTTTGGAGTATTTTGACTTGCAAAGTCTTAAATAAACATATTTAATGCCAGCAGCTGACAATACGGTAATTGAAACGTGGTTGTCTATGGGCACATGTCTTGGTGAGAGCTCTGCTCTCTTTTGTTGTAGGTTACTATTCTCAACTACATGAAGACGTTTTATTATCTTAAAATGAGCTTGAAAGCCTGTGGCTGGTTGTATTTTTAGACTTCCAGTCATCTTGAATGCTCGTCTCTTTATTTGGATGTTGAAGCCAAAGGAAATTTACCATCATGCTGTGTAAGAGTTGGAGGCCTTCGGGTGTTGGTATCATCTGTGATTCACAAAAGTGCCTGCAGTTGTCATTAGCATTCTTGTGTCTGCAAGCTCTGTTGGCAGCTACAGCTAAAACCACCCTGTGCATTGGATATGCCATTGCTTGCAGCAAAGTTGAAGTTGCCTGCAAGCAAACACTGAAACAACTCAAATCCTTAGTCATTCCTTAATCAAAGTTTAAACTTTGTTAGAATTCCCTCATGTTGTTCATTAGCTTATCTATATTGACTGTTTCTTTAGGAAACCTTAAAAATAGTGAGTGAATTATTTGCCAAGGAGGATCTTAAATAATGTATAAGCTATGCTTCTTTTGCTAATAGAGCAATATTAATTGTACTAGTACTTTCTATTTCACTGTAGCTTCTTTAAAACTGAATGTCATCGTGTGCTACTTTAGGGATGTGGGGATTTCATGACCGGGACCTTGTTTTACGTAAAGCGCTGTATACTATGATGAGAAGTGGAGCTGAAAGGGAAGCACTGAAAAGAAGATGGAGATGGCAACAGACTCAGCAGAATAAGGAGGTCTGTATGGCCTAAAGACAGTCTTGCTAATATCATTTAGGGTCAAGAGCATTCTTCTGAAGTCTGGTGTGAAAGTTTTAATTGCTATCAAATTCCTTGTGCTTCCATTTTGCATGGGGAAAGAGATAATTGTATTTAGAATTTTTGTATCAGAATGCAAATGTGTTTGTAGCTTTGTGGGCATAAATATACACCGTTTTGTGCCTACAAAGGTCTAAGATGAGTTTGGAACCTGTAGAAAATTTTGGGCTGCAAAATTAAATGTATAATTTAGCTATCACAAGCATTATAAAATGAGTGGATGAAATCCACAAAAGAAAGAAAACCTCATTTAGGAAAGATCCCCAGAATGGTGAATTAAGATTCTTGGAGCTGTGACCAAATATTGAGTGCATGTTTCTTAACTAAAATCATCTGTAGATTTGGTTTGACTGTTGGTTAAAAGCTGTGCTTCGGCACGTATTATTTTCTGAAGATGTCTGTGCCTAAACAGTGGCTAGAAAAGCCAATTTCAGGAGTAATCCTGAATGCAATCAAGTGAATATGCTTAAATGTTTGTGACTTACTTGTAATCTGCTTTTTGTTGGCAGCAGTCAGTGAAAATACAGCTTAGCTGTCGCTGACTCAGCTGCTTCAGGCTACCTGAAAACACAGGGGCACAGAAGCACTTATATACCCTTTCTGCTCTTGAACAGAGGGAGAAAGCATCACCCGTCTGCCAAGGAGGGCATTCACAGTAGTTCCATGTATTGGGGAAGAAAGCAAACCTCCAGAAATGGGCAGTAAAGCATGCTAACCATGGTTGCAAGGAATTCACATGGGTATGAATAACTGGATCTCCAATCATGGAGCACTGTGTTAGCAGCAGCAGACCCACGTCTAGAAATGTAATCCAGTATACAGTTAGTGGTTTAGACCTTTTTTTTAATAAGTTAATATTCTTTCAGCTGAATAGAAATGTTGAACCATTAATGGTCCAAGATATTAAATCGTGTCATGTATGAAGCTCAAAATAAGTTAGTTGTAAATACTACTACAGAACTCTGCTTACATTTTGTACTAGCATAATCGTAAAGGTATTTCATTCTCTCCCATAGTCAGGTTTGGTGTATACAGAAGAAGAATGGGAACGGGAGTGGAATGAACTGCTTAAACTGGCATCAAGTGAGCCTCGTACACATTTCAGTAAAAATGGAGGCACTGGTGGTGGGTAAGTTTAGAGTATGACAAAATCTTTTAGTTGTTGTTCTCAGTAGGAAAACAATACAGCACAACTGACTGAAGCTGTTTATAGGACCATCAAACTGCCTTTTCAACTGGTTGCAATTTTTTTTTTTTGCGTGGTAGAATATAATTATCTACACTTCCCATTATAATGTTTAGCATTTTGATTAAGTTTCCTTGTACAGTTACCACACTAGCTTGAGGTTACTTTGCATCCAAAAGAGTCTGGATTTCATAAATCCCAATTTCTTGGTTTCTGGAACAAGCATGTTGGAAGTAGCATTTAGCTTCAAGGAGATGAAGTGCCTTGTCTCACTGAAGATACGTAGCTCTTCGTTTGCGGAAGACTTAGCAGAAGGAGAGCCACTGCTCAGATATTTTCACTAAAACATGGAATGACAGAACAACATCACATCTTCTAACAGCATTCTAGAATAAAGTAGTTTGTGCCCAGATATCACCTTTTCTGTACTTTAGCACAGCTTTAATGCCATCTTCTCATATTCATACATTTATTTCAGTCCTTTTTTGCTTTGTAGTTCAAACAGAAAATCTTCAGAGAGATCTTTTTTGAGGGCAAGTCACCAAGTAACTCTTCACATTTTCTACTTTTAAAATACTGTTAACCATAAACATACAGGGGGAAAAAAAGTAATATTTTTGGTATTAAAGCTAAAGATTAAATATTTGGATGCAGTGTCTTTTTAAACAGAAAGTAGAATGTCGAGTTGTACTTTGTAGTCTCATGAAGCCCTTCTGAAAAATCAATATGCTACTTCAATCTTTGATCAGTTGTAGAAAACTTGAACTAAAAATTATGATAATTTATATTGCACTGATAGGAACAGTTGCCCTTTCTTTGACTATTCAAGCTTTTATTAAACCCATGTAACATAAATAGCGCGCTCAAACGCAAGGATTATTTAAAGATTGTAGGGGGTTTATTTCAAATTAAACTGATTCACTGTCATCTAGTAAAGTTGGATGTTGCTGCAGGGTTCTGCATAGGGTATGTCTGTATTTCTAAGAACCACATCAGATTCTTTTCTTACCTGATTTCATATCCGTTTCTCTAGCTTGTTTCCGTAAGAGTATGGCTGATTGCAGCTACTTTGCTTACACTCTGCAAAGTTGCAATGTCTGTCAGTTACTACCCAGTGCTAAGAGGCAAGCAAGGAAAGACCAGCTTAGTAGGTGTGTTTAATCTTTGTATAATACTCAATTAGGAGCATTTTAGTCAATTAGCTTTTTATAAACAGTAGCAGAAAATTTGATGGTTGCAGGGAAAAACCCAGTATTGTCTACTTTACTGCCAGCATGCATGTAGTTTAGATGTTTAGAAGCTACTGGAAAAAATGGATAGAAACATATTTGTGAAAAAGTTTGGGATGAAGTAGTATCTACAACATTTAAATACCCCTGATGCACATACAGAATCTGCTTTAAACAGCTGGTATGATAAACTTCCCTCGCTTTCGGTGCAGTTGTTCCCAAAGTACAGGATTATTGACCAGCCTTAAGAATGCAGAAGCTTTAGGTTTTTTGTCTAGTGTTTATCACTAAAAATATTCAGTGTTTGTTTACTCAGTGCATGTTTTTCTCTAGCTACTGTTTCCCCTGGAGAAAATTGCAGGTGGTGATAAGTAAATTGACAAAATAGGGCATACAACACAATGAGAATAATAAAATCTTTACAAAATATTCTCTGGGCTTTGAAAGAATATTATATTTTCCTTTTAACCCTGTGATGTCAAGGATAGGTAAGTCTGCTAATGCAGGAGGACATTGTTTAGAAAATTGTCAGCCATAATGTGTCTCACTTACTTCTATTTTGAGGCTAAAAAAAAAAATAGATTGGCTTTCATTTTACTCTCTAGTTTGTTTCCTATGTTTGTAGATATTTTCCTGTTGATACGCATTAGTCTTCTAATGCCGTTCAATTCACATTTCTATTCAATTTGGCCATTCACCACCAATTTGCTCTGGCCTTATTCTGTCTTTTTCATTCTGTACATTTCACATACTATGTAGTTTCAGTACCTACCAGTCAGAGATGTCCTCAAAGGTTGCATTTGCCAGTCAATCAACCATCTTTACCTTTAGTTCCCAGATACTTAAACAGGGAGTATCACTATTACATAAAGAATTAATTTAAATGGGTTTTATGTTCTCATCGTGGTTTACATTTATCTTCTTGCAAATCAAAATAAAGTAAGGATAAATAGACAACAGTTAGTTTTTCCTTTAAAATAGTGAAAGAGGAATCAGGCAAGAAACTTAGCCTATTAAACATGTGAATATGTAATTCTTTTTACAATCATTCCAAAGACAGAATGAATGTGACAGAATGAATTGTTTTCTCAGTTTAATGTACCCATGTTCAAAATAGAGCCCTTGAGAAGGAAAAGGAATATCAAAATAGTATTTTTGAGATGGGGTATATTACTTTCTCTAGTTTAGGTACTATATTATGCAAGCTTGGAAATTAGCCTTTGAATTGTAGATGAGGCATTCTCCTTTGGTGTCAGTATTAGCTAAAGCATCAGAAGTTGTATCTGCTTCAAAAGAATTCAGTGACAAGCCTAAGTCTGGAATTATGCTGCCTCATTCACCTGCAAGTTCCTTTTAGTTATTTTTCAGAGTGAACTACATGCAAAGGAGATCAGCAATTGTCGCTAAATCTCTGAAGAGTTCTTCCTGGAGAGCACTCTCGTTCTGAGGCTTGGAAGTTGGAAAAAAAGAAAAAGATAAAGGGAACACAGAAAAACCTGGTTAAGTTCTTGTTTCCAACATGTAAAATCCTTCAAGCACTAAAGCAGAGCAAACTAATTAACTATGAAGCAGATTCTTGCTTTGAAACAGATTTGCACATCTTTCTGTAAATGTAAAAAATAAATTTCAGATTAACATAATTGTTTCATTTATCTCCATTTACAAGCAAAACCAGGGGTACTGAATTGAAGCAACTGCTTTGAAAAAAGGAAAATGTCTTGTGCTCTCTGTTTTTGTTAAGAACCTAACTATTGCAATCCCGCTAAAGAGAACATTCCAACCCATTCCTTCATTTTGCAGACTATTGTCAGTCAGAGATTTCAAAGCCTGTTCTAGTGCTAGATTGAATATCACCATTGTTACTCACTTCTTGAAAACCTAGTAGAGCTGAAAGCTAGATGTCGTGGTGTGAGCTAATACAGATTTTGAAAGTGGATGGTGTTCTTATTTAGTATTAACTGTCACCTTCCAGCTAGCTGTCTCATATGCTGTTGGCACTATCTTACTAATAAAGACAAGTGATTTTAAATGGGGAAGAAGGGAGGGAACATTGCTGTAATCTTCCCGTGTGTCATTAGGATTTTATTTAAGGCAGAAAACCGGAACATTTAAACAGGAAGTACCTCTCAAATGCATGTAATCTCTGAGGTTTTGGACTTGGTTAGGTATTCAGAGTATTTCAACATAGAATTCTTCATACAAAACTACTGCATCCATCAAAGACCCTCGTCTTGTAGAGAATTTAGTTTAGATCATTTAACAAAGACATTGCTTTAAAACTATTTTTATTTGCTCTGGTTGTCTATTATAGGAGTGCTATTCCTTTTTAACTGTTCAGTATATGCAGCAATTATAGGGTGCAGATAGAAAAAGGTTCACTGTAACAGTGTATCTTTTCCTTATTAGCTGAAGTTTCTGATGGATAATAAATCTTTTCATCTGGCCTGTTTTCAATTGATATAAATTGTACTTAAGCCAAACGCAGCCTGGAAATAAACAAATTGCTGTGGTGATTCAAATATGCTAGTTCAGACAGCCCTTCAGATCTGAAAACAGTGGATATCCCACAGACTCTAGAAAAGAGGTAAAATTCAAGGCAAAGGAGGGATCAGAATTATGTCATATTAAAATTAAGTACTAGTGCCTACGTAGCGATTGGGTTTTTCCTTATTTAACAAGTTTTTGTTGAATTCAGGATATTTCCTATTTGACAGATGGTTGCATCTCACATGCCGCAGAAGTCGTTTTACACAAAAGCATGCATTCCCACGCAATTAAATACAAAATAGCCTTCAAACCAAAATAATCTAGGGCAAGTTGATTTAGGTTTTCTTTTTTATTATATGCCTTGAAAACTGCTTCCTATACATTGTTTTTGGCTGAGAAAAAAATACTGATATTTTTAAAAACTAAGAAATAAAAATTGGAACTCAAAACATTCACATTCTTTATCTCCTTCAGTCAATGCAGTATACCATTTATTTTTTTTTCCCTGAAGAAAAGAAGGGAAATGTCCCACTACTGTGCAATTTTTTTGTGTTTGAGTTGAAGCTCATTGCTGAAATACTGTGTAAGGGAATCAATGGATAGGTTCCTACACCTACCTACAGCAGAAATTCGTACTTGCTAGTAACCTGCAGCTGTGGTGTATGCTGGTTTTAATTCTGGGATTCTTAAGCAGGGAAGGAAGAGGTTTCAGAAATGGAATGGTGGCAGATTGAGATACGAACTCAGATTTCATTCTGGTCTCATGCTTGTACCTAATCACCAGGTTGAAGAACTTGATACTTGTGTTGTTTCAGTACATCTTAACTGTCCGCAGGCATTGGTCTCTCGCTGTGTGTGAATCCTGAAACTTAATCTAAACTTAGAATAGCTGTTATGAGTCTGCTGGACAAACCGAGACTCTGGAACGTATGTATGGGGAAAAAAAAAGCAAGGTTAGCATAGGGAGCTGTTTAGAAGGAAATCCAAGGACATGAAAACAGATCTTGCTCAGAGTTTACAGGCAAAAGAGAGGAACAGACAGCAGATAGCCAGGTGGGACAGCAGCATAGGTGACTTTCTCATTTCAGCTTTTTGAGGTTTTTTTTCATTACTGGCCGCAGTACAAATTGGATTTTCCATAGGGGAGAGAATCTCTTTGGAGTGCTGAGTAGGTGTCCACCCTGTATCAGTGGTCCTGTAGGACAGACTGAGATTTTTTTTATATTTATCCTTTTTTGTTAATTTGTTCTTTACAATCAAGATAAGGTATTTAGTCAGAGTGCCCTGGTTGAGCAGGATTCTGCCTGCAATGCAGATTTATGTGCTCTTATATATGTGGATTTCATTATTTAAAAATTAACTTTACATGAACAGATGAATTCATTTCAGTTTCTTAAATTTCCTTTGCTTCCTTGTTATATTGACAAAAATATTTTTTCCACAATTTTCATGGCCACATAGTTAGCATAAATAAAGGTCCATGAAAAAAAGTGGAATGATAAGTGGATCAAAGGATGTGGCAGGTTGCTATGGATACTTGTTAATGATGATTTTTCATTCTCAATAATCTTTAGAAAAATTCGTACTGAATCCTCAGCAGTGGCACTGAAATAATATAAGATGGCCCACATGAATTACTGGCAATGTTGAAATAAAATTGAACATTGAAAAGGTTGCCCAGAGAGGCTGTGAATTCTTCCTCCTCAGAGATATTCAGAAGCTGTCTGGACACGGTCCTGGGCAACTGGCTCTAGGTGGCCCTGCTTGAACAGGGGTGTTGGACAGAGTGACCTCCAGAGCTCCCTGCCAACCTCAACTACTCTGTGATTCTGTGAAAATGAGCAATGGAAAACAGATGTGTAATAGAAGAGAAGGATTTGAAATGTGTGAATATGATCATAAATAGTGAATCAAGCAACTTGGTGATGTGATATTGAAGATTGAAAAAGCCCAGTGGAATTTTGGACTTCATGTGCAGTCAGGCTTGACATCAGCTGACCAAAGGGATAAAGGCCCTTCTGATACAGTTGCATCTGGCATATGCCTTTCACTTCTAGAAACCTCATTAACTAGGAGGTGAGGAATAATTAGAGGATTTGAAGAAAAACTTTAGGACTAATAGTCTGGAAATACCAAAGTGAGAAAACAGCTGGAAATCTTTGTAGCATATTGTCTTGCCAATAACATGATTCTTTTAACTTCCTTTTGGCTAACAAATTACTCTGACATAATGCACTGCAAATGCTGAAGAGCCATCGCAGCCAACAATTCAGTTGGAATTCAAAAAGGAATACGAGAGGAAATTACAAAATGGGGAATTTAGGTTGAACATCAGGAAGAATTTCCTCACGAGTTTGGGTAACGGGAAGAGGGATACAGGGAAGGAGAGGTGTCTCACTGCTTGATCAGAGAATTTTTGTCCTGCATCAGCCTACTGTTAATAATTTCCATCCTGCTGTGCTCCCAGGTTGGGATGAAAGATTTTGATGTAAAGTTCCAGGGATGGGCCGGATGCCATCAGACCTGTGAGAAGGTTACTGTATTTGTCCCGCATATTCTAGACCAGTGCCCATATAGTTATGTTCAGTTACTATTTTTCACATATAATGAAAATTAATGATGGTTAATTATGGAAGTTCTCTGCACACCTATCAATAAGTGGACAATCTGCCTTCATTTAAGAGTGTGCCTAGGTTATGTTGCCCACCTTTATTTCTCATGTCTCACAGAAGCTGTGCTCTGTGTGTATTTTATTTTTAAGTGGCACTCAGCTGTGAATTACCATCTTTACTTTTGTCTGCTTCCCACAACCCTACCATTTTTCAGTCTTCTTCCATCTAGCATGTTTATTTCTGTCCTCTAGGTAGAGGCAAAGGTTTAAAACATGATAGTGACATTAATGACATTAAACTAGAAAAACAGGAAAGGAGGTAACTGAAACCAAAAATTCTGTAAAATGCTTATGAAGTCATAGAAGGGCTTGGAAGTGTTCAGCTAGAAAAGCGGGGAATTTAACAGAATTATTCTTGCGGTTCAGGTGAAAGAATGATCTGTTTCATAAATGATTGCCTTTATAGGTTAGCTTTCCAAAGGTGCTGGGCATTTCCGTTTCCTGGAAGATTGTGGGGCTGATCCAAAGCATACTGATGCTAGTTGGAAAACTTTTTTTTTTTAAATGTCACTCAATTTTAAGTCAGGTTTTCAGTCTTACCTTTTTTGGGGGAAAAGTACCCCATTGCATTTAGTGATCAGCAGCATATCCCTAGAAGTTAGTAGCACGTGTTCTTTAACATAAAGTCTCTCTCTTCTTGCTGTCAAAAGTTTTGAGCCGTGAAACGTGTAACTGCACATTTTGTAAGCTTTTCAGTAAAAGAGAATATTTAAAACAAACTTAGCAGTTGTGTTTGTCCATTCATATATGAAGAAAAACTTTTTTAAAATTTGTATAGGTTGGGAAAATAAGACTAATATATTCAGGTGCATAGGATAGCAAAGGTATATTTTAAGGAATTCAAGGATTTTAGTCCATAAATTATATTCTAAGGATTTGCCTCTCTATATGTACGTGGTGGTTTAATGCTATTGATTTGTGTTGTTAAATTTGAATTTCTGACACTTGATGCTATTGAGAATAGATGTATAGGCTGCAGATGAATCTCACAGGGACTGGTTCCCTGGGTGCTTTATAACTTCTTAGTACTGAGTTGAAAAAATTACAAATCTTGCTCTATGTGCTGTACATGTTTTTGGCTTTCCTAAATGTCTTCTCTCTATGTTCTTCTTGATAGTAGTGATTATGTAATCTAACATGAGTTTTCTCTGATACTCCTTTAGCAACCAGTTATCTTTTCTAATAGACATCCTGTTATTCAGTTTTCCTTTGTCTTCTGTCATTGCTTATGCCTTTCAGACATCAGATTATGAATAGAACAGAAACTGCCCAAATCATCCCAGATAGGACTGGGATAGCTCAGTCTCATTTTTTTCAAAACATATTGTGTGTACTTGTCTTTGTCAGATTCTTTCAGTAGGTAATTTATTAATTTTGGCCACCTTTGAAATTTAGGACTAATTATCATGGTTTTGACACAAAACACCGTACTGTCAGCATATTACCACTTAAACCCATGTTTTGGAGAACTAGATGTTGAAAGGCATTTTCACCGAGTAAGGATAATGAATTTAATGAATTTTTTTCCCCCAAGATGTATATTCCATAACGGTATCAACAATTCAAAAGGAAGAAACAACTCTTCAGAGTGCAGAAGACTCTTCAAGTGCTCAAATTGTCTTCCAATTATATTGTACATGGAGTTTTGGGGTTTTTTTAATTCCTTCCAAGAACAGCAGTTTTTTGTCTTTGTCTTAAATTACTTGCTCATTGTGAAGCTGGTTGAGGATTAACTCTGTTGAGACCTATGGAATACTCCTCAATGAAGCATTTATTTTAATCTAAAAATGAAATATTATTTCTCCACTTTTTGAAGTGCTCTGTATCTGCTCCAGCTAGATGAAGAAAACGGAAAGACTTTAATTAATTCTTGTGGTATTTGGATCAGACCTGTAGAAGGCCAATGTAAAGAAAAGCCTTGGGTTTCTCTGTAGTGCTGTCTTACTGTTTGAATTTTATGTTCTGTTCTCCTACCATATAAGATATTCTTATTGATTCTTTCTGTGTGTTTTCTGAAACACAAAGCTCCACTGGCAAAAATGCTTGGTCTTGTCTCACCTAACTACATCTTGATCTAGATTCCTTCTGTATTCTGTAAAGAGAAATGAGAATTTTCATCTCATCTTTGGGCAAATGCTTAAGAGGAGAGGGATGATCCTACTTCCGGATGTGCCTGTCTTTTTTTGTTATCTGTAGAGGCAGTCAAGGTGAAATGCTTAGACTTCTGATTTTAGATGTCTGAAAGTAGGTGAAATTCATCTCATTGGAAAATCTAATAAGAAAATGAATCTCCAGTTCCTTACACAGGTACCCCTCCTCATCTTAAAAAAAAAAAAAAAGTTTTGGTAATAATAAAAGAAAAAAAGTTGACAGCTTTGTAAGTTAAATTCCTCCTACTCAAGCTGACATCAATGTTTCTTACATTGCCAAGATAAACTCACGTGTATTTTGTTTAGAGGAACTAGAAAAACACTTACCTTTCATTGTAGAGTCTATGTGCCAAGGGTGTCACATGAAATCATTATTTTTGTGACAAAAGCACATTTACACCAGGAGCTTGGCTAAGAATTACCTTTTTTTATTCCCATTAGGCTACTAAACAATATCAGAAAGTAATGAATTTTGCTGACTACTAAACTAGTGTGGAGTCTGCAAGTGAAAACATTTTCTCTGTTGCTATTATTTTATTTCCAAAAACATATTTTCCTTTCCAATGTCTTACGTTACGTATTTCGATAATTGGAATATGTGTTTCAGAAGAGTGGGAATATGAGTGACAAGGAAGAAGAAATAGCTGCTGTGATATGTCGGTTCACTGAAGTTTCAGTGGTTGGTTCAAGTTGGTTCAAAAAGTTTCAATGCTGTGTCTTCCAGAGTCGATAATTCAGAAGATCCAGTGTATGAGAGCTTAGAAGAGTTCCATGTACGTATTTCGATAATTGGAATATGTGTTTCAGAAGAGTGGGAATATGAGTGACAAGGAAGAAGAAATAGCTGCTGTGATATGTCGGTTCACTGAAGTTTCAGTGGTTGGTTCAAGTTGGTTCAAAAAGTTTCAATGCTGTGTCTTCCAGAGTCGATAATTCAGAAGATCCAGTGTATGAGAGCTTAGAAGAGTTCCATGTTTTCGTCTTAGCCCATATTTTGAGAAGACCTATTGTTGTAGTAGCAGACACAATGTTACGAGACTCAGGGGGAGAAGGTAAGAGTTTTCCATTAGAAATTTATGCACCTATGTAAATTGAATCAATTGAACTATCACAAAGAAAAGACCCAGCTGTAACATATCTGAGTGTTTATGAGATAGCTGCTGCCTTTTTCCGAGAAGCAAAAAAAAAAGAGCAGAATGATACTCAATCCATTTCAAATAGATAAAAGTAAAAAATACAGGATAATTATGTAAGTCTCACTGAAAATCTGTTTATCCTAGATATTTCCTATTAACTTAATAACCACTAAATTACAGAAGACAATACTTTTCTTACTGGTCTAGGTTAACAAGGTTCTAATTTTGCTGTGTTATTTTTATGCCCCTTAGAACGCCGCATAAAGCAATCTATTCTGACTTTGAAAAATTGAATTCTGAATGTGTATATCTTGGGTTTTTGTTTTTACTAACTCCTTTGCTGCCTCCCATTCAAAAGTTTCCAGAATGTTTTATTCAGTTTGCACATGTGAGCACACAAATGTTAGATCCATATGTGGAGCCAGCTGGACAGCTGTCTGAGCAGGACTTGAATGATTAAATTAATCTCTCTCACTTTTTACCATGAACTAATAGAATACTAATTAATGATAGTATGTTGCTTAACTAAAGGGGAATGTTTGGTTGATTAAAGGGGGATGTTAAACACGCGGTGGAGTTTACAGAAATTTACTTCTACAGGAAAATGCTGGGGGGTAATTTCAGTTTCCATTCAAATTGTGAAATACAAGTAATGGGTGTATGATTGCTATCTGCTGTTATATAGCTATATTCTGTCACAATAATCCCAGTGTTTTTCTCACTGCTGGCCTCATGGACCAGCGTGATCAAGTTACCCCCGTTTAACTGTTGTATGTACAAAGTACAGGTTTTCAAAAAGACTAATGACTTGGTCATATTTGGATAGACTCACCAAAATGTATATTTATGCCTCAAAAACCATACTGTTCTCCATCCCAAAGTCTGGGCACAGCAGACCTCTTCAAAGAAAAAGTCTCTAGTAAAAACAGCGCATTGTTTGGGTTTACTTTTTCCTTATGCTCATTTTGGAAATACTTCAGCAATAAGGATTCATGTTTTCACAGCAAAAGGAAAAATAATTGGTCAGAAGCAAACAGGTTGAGCGAATTTTCCTGCCCAAACTTGCTGTTCCCCATAATTATATATAAACAAGTGTAGAATCTTTTAAAGGAAAGAGCTTTGCCCTTACAGATGCAGCAACCCATTCAAATTCTACTTGTAGAATTTTTTTTAATCTTTCCTTATCATTGTTACTATATATACACATACATATACACATTCATACATATATGATGTGTGTGATGACGTGTGTGTGGACTATGAACATGTTTGTAATGTTTCTTGTAGAAATCTGTTAATGCAAGGCATGAGCAGAGTACGTTACCAAGAGAACTGATAGTGTGTTTACTGCTGATGATTAGAAAATACCCTTCTACCTAGAAGTATTACAGGAAGGTACAAATCTGCATACATGTGTGAGAGTCATCAAGATTTTGTTATAAGACCTTAATATCTTTACTAGTAAACAATTAGAGCAAGGAAAATGTATGTAAGAGCAGAATGTTTTCGTTATTGTTCTTAGTATATTTCCTGACGTTTTTATAATGAAATCTTACCTGTTGTTATGACTGTTTACTGCATTGATTAGTCCACTTTAGGCTGCTCTCCTGGAACTCTGAAAATGTTGTAGCACAATTGTTACGTACAGTAGAACCAACATTATTGTCTGTTCTTTGACACGGTTAAAAAAACCCAAACAACTCATTTTTCTTTGCAGCATTTGCACCTATACCATTTGGAGGAATTTATTTGCCACTTGAAGTTCTACCTAACAGATGCCATTGCTCACCTCTTGTGCTAGCCTATGATCAGGCCCATTTCTCTGCTCTTGTTTCCATGGAACAAAAAGATCAACAGAGAGAACAAGGTATGCTACAAACACAGCAACCCAAGGGTATATATTGAATGCAATGCACAAAGTACTTTCTTCTACCTGTAGGTGTATTTATCTATCAGAAAGGAAATAATATCCACTAAACTTTATTGCTGCATTCTTAGGACTCTAAGTGGTCTAATCACAAGACTGGGAGCCAAGAACTCTTCAGTCCTAATCCTTATGCTATCACTGTCTGCCTTTGGCACTTAAAGCTTTTCTGTCAGTTCCATATGTGTAAATAGGTATAGTCATAGTTACCTACTGTTCTTCTGGATTCTTGAAGGCCTTTGTTAATTTGGGTTAGTAAAGTGTTCAGAAGATTAAGTGTGAGTCAGATTACTATTGAAAACTCATGTAATGGAAAAATCTCTCTTCTAGTGCGCTAAATGCACTTTTCTCATTTAAAAACATTTAGCTGAAGTGTTTTTGTCTTATCATCTTGCTGTCTTCTGTTTTACTTTGGAACAGTGACAACAAAGACTGACCAGATATTTCTGTGTCAAGTTTGAGCTTCCTAGGTATGGGATTGGGAGTGACAAGAGCTTCAGGACTGGATTTGTTCCTGCATCAGTGCCTAGGAGCTAGCTATAACTGCCCTTATTTGGAAGACCTGTTTGCTTAATAATAGAAAGCTGTGAGATGAACTATCTGTCTTTGCACCTTTTGTGGGGGAGGGAAAAGTGGTTTGCCAAAAACATGGTGAGGCTTTAGAAAAATTCAGTGGAGTTTTGCTGTTAGGTATGAGTCCTCCTTTTTTTTGCCTGATGACACTGCAGAGGTGCATGCATATACCTGTAAAGTAAGCATGGAATGTGTGCTGGTTGCTGAGATCTCCTGAGTGAATTTCATTTAGTCCTCCTTCCTAGAGAGTATTTTAGAGGCAACTAAATATCCTTCATTGAATTCCCTAATCCTGTGTGCATTTCATCTGATTTTGGATATATTAGGCCTTTTCCATGCTTATGAGACAGCCAGCATGCTGCAGCTGTGCAAAGTAGAGAGAAAGACGTTCATGAAAACGATGCAAAGGAGGAAAGAAGCTCTTGAACGACACATTTTGTTGTAGACATCTTCATGCAAGAATTTGACATCTAGTTAAGTCATCCTTCTTGGAAGGAGCGGAGAGTTTTTTACATGAGGTTGTGTGAGATGGGAAACGCTCTACAAAGGGTTGCATGTGGTATTGGCAAACTTTGTGTTGGTGAAAAGGAGACTGAATCATAAGACAGTAATGGAAAAAAAGGTTGATCTAGATGTCAGATATTCAATAGGAAAATCAATCCAGTCCAACTATTCAGCCTTCAGTGGCACATAGCTATTTCAAGGATTTGTAGGTAGGTGCTTGGCAATAGGTCTGGCCTTTGCATTATATACTGGGACATTGCAGCTGCCTTTCAGCCCTCAATCTGTAGAAGAGCGGCCCCTAGGAAAATGCTTTTCACATAGGAACCATTTCCAAAGCAGTACACTGAGGTATGATGTGAAACACCTTGTGAGTAATGAAAGTCTGCAAAGCAAATTCATACCATTTTAATGCAATAATGTGACATGAATGAAGATAGTTTTGGAGAGCCTTTTAAGGATAGCGTTTCACTGTTGATGGTTGCTGATGATACGCTGCAGCCAGGACTGTAATGTCAGCATGCTATTAAGTTAGCAGCTCCTGCATATATGTCTATGTTACAAATTGTAGAGTTGTCTTGTTGAACATGCCTCCATGTCTTTGGTCTTGATACTTTTTAGGTCTGAGTTCTGTTGGGGTTAAACAAGACAATTTCTGGAGTAGGCAGAGTCCATTTCTTCCTTTCTAACAATTGGGATTGGAATAATGTCAGTAGACTGACAGTAACCTCATTTATTTCAGGCACGTCTGTCTGCCTTCATACAATACTTCATTATCACAGGTCTTACAAGAGCCTACGTGCATAAATAATTTGACTGAATACACAGAACTTAACTATCTCTGCAATAACTTTGCAGATAGGGTAGCCGCCTCTCACCAAACCTTTCGCTATTGTGGCATCCTCTAAGTGACAGGATTGACAAAAGGTAGTGAGGGAAACTGCTGTTCAGCTGCTCTGACCCTACCTCTCTATGTGTTGAAGTATTCAGTGATACAACTTGGTGCCACCTACTGAAACATTCCTAATATTACAAGCCATATATTCCTGTTAATCACACACTGCAAGATCTTGGGTTTGATAACAAGGTCACATATTTGATTTCTCCCACAAGTGCTAGCAATAATGTGAAGTATACTTCTTGTAGTTAGAAACTGTCTTTCTGTAGGATTTTCCTACACCTGTAGTCGCACAGGAGAGGTGCTGGGAGAGAAAAAACTATCAAATATCCAGCATGGCATCAGTGATGTTAAGTACTGCCTTTGTTCATGTGCAAGTTCATCCAGGTTAATTACAAGGGCTGTTGAATCAAAATAGTATTTGTTTTGTATGATCTGATTTTACATGTTTTACTGCAGAGCCTTGCATACACAGGCTTCAATTCTGTGGAGCAGCAGAGAGCGCTTGGCATTAAGTCTGGGATGAAGGGAATGCTTTAGCTTTCAGCTGCCAAGCTGGTTGCTGTTAGAGACTGCAGCAGCCTAACAGCTAGCACAGCATTGCTATTGTTCTTCAAATGCTGTGACAGGAAATAGATTGGCACAAGGATGCTCTAATAATGCCTATTTTTTGTACCTTGTCAGCATAGAGATGTTGGCAGCTTTGGCACAGAGGAAGGGAGAGCCACAATTGTTAAGTCAGAAAACAACGGCACAGGTGCTACAGTACATGGCCAGATTTTGAACTATCAGAATGCAGCTGAGAGCTTAGAGCTACAACTTCTTAAAAGGAGCATCTGTGATAGCCAGGCCGTTTCATAACTTACAGTCATAGTATTTATGCTGTAACCATGTATCCGGATGTCAGGAGCAGCATCTGAAGCTGCCTGAAATACTGCATGTGTGTACATACATGTTTAAGCTGCTGAGAAGCTTTCTTGTGGAGGAGACAGTATGTCCTGTATTTGTGAAATATGCGTGGTCAAATAAATGCTGATGTGAACGCCTGAAGTTCTACTTTGGCATATAGTTCATTTATCAGATCATTTTGAGCATGACTATAAATGTATGTAAAGAGAGAAAAACATGCTAACATCCTCTTGTCTGGAGAGGATTTAAAACACATTTTGACATGTCTTCTTTTTACCAGCACATAGCTGGCATTCTGATGGTCACCAAAGGCCCTCTTGTTTCAAAATCTACAATGTCTGATTAAAAACCTATAAACACCTTTGTATTTATGCAGGCTATATTTATGCAGGTGTTTTGTATCTTTCTTTATGGAAAATAAAGACCAGTTCTCAACTGCCTCTAACGCTGCTTCATTGAGCTTAGAGCTTCCCACACTCCCGTGCTTTGTCAGCCAGTCAGCAGTGAAATGGCTGCCCACAATCAGTTTGCAATAACAAGTGTGAGAGGTGTTACAGTGGTTTCTAACAGCAGTACGTCGGTATCTGTGTCAGCATTTTATTTTACTAGTATTTTCAGAAATAGTTAAAGTGGTGTTCTTTATAGAAGATTAATAATGACACTTGAGGCATGAAGATGAGTGCTGGGAAACACTGTGACTTCACAGCACAGAAGGCAGTACACCCAACTGAGGAATGGCATGAAAGTCCTCACTCTGTGTCTTAAAACTGCCATGGATGAAATAGCTGCTGTTACTTTTGAGGTATCCCATCTGTTGGCATTAGGACTTGTAGACTGTTTCAAATAGTGTGGTTTCAGCTCGAGAGCATCCAAACCCAAGTGTAACCAAACTACTGCACCAAAGTTGCAAACTCTCTGATGTGGCTGGGCAACAGGAAGATGCTACAATCTACCGGCTTTGCTTTAGAAATGAACGTGATGGATCCTGCTTGTAGTCCTAACATTAAAATACTTTTCTGTCAGGAACGTGGGGAAATCCTACAAGAAATCCCGGCTATCAAACAGAATTCCCTGAGAGAGAGGAAATCTCTTGCAGTGAAGATAAATTTTAAAAACTCTATTACTTTAGCAGATACGTTTTGCATGAAGATGGTAGTGCTTCATACCAACCCCAGACTATGCCTTAGAATGACTATACAGTTCCCATTCAACTCAGAGTTTGAAAAATAATAGTTAACAAATTCTGTGTGAAGATGGAGACAGTACGTGTCATAATGTGTACATTAGTTGAGACAACAGTGACATGCTACAATCGGCTCTAAGCTTTGTTTTGTACTTAGACATTAAGATTTTAATAAAATTGAGTATCACTAAATATTTTTATTAGGTGTATTTTCAGTACCAGTAGAAACAGCTAGCTTTAGAAAAGGATTCCTTTAAAATTTGTTTATAAAAATGATTATTTATTGAACTATGTGAAAACCAGTTAGTTTCAAGCTGTCCTTAGAAAAGAAACTCAAATTTACTTTTTGAGATTTACATCCCAAAGAGACTGATTCAACCCTCTGACAGTTCTTTGGTCCAGGCTTCCCAACATCACCTGCCTCAGGATCACATTCCCAGTTCTCTACCAGGCTGTACCTGTAAGGTCAGGTGCTACCAGAAGTGGAAGTGTTGTGTTGTAAACTTATAATGCTGCTCTTTTCTAAGTTGCTTTCTTCCTTTAAATGGTTGATATATTGCTTTGTAAGGTCAGTTGTAAATCCAGTCAGTACCTGCTAGTAATTCAGTTAATTGGTAGAACATGTTTTTTCCTTGGGAAACATGATCAGTTATTTGTGTTCTCAGTTATTCCAGCCCCTTTGTTGCAATAATTTCATTGAATGCAGCAGGGTAAGCCCTCATATTACACCAATGAGTCCTAAAAAGTGTATTCAGTTGTCACCTCTGCTGTACATTTCTTCTGTTCTTATGGTTCAGGAGCTCACTTTACAGTGTATTTTGAACTGTAGGGTTAGACTCTCTGCTACTTATTCACATTGAGTTTCTTTAAGGAGCTAAATTCTCTTACAATATTAATTTCTGTGCTTGCATCTTACAGCAGTATCTGCAACTAAAGTTGATTAATCTCCAGCTGTTCTATACTATATCTGCAGTTCATATGGGGAAAATATTTCAAGAATTACCTACTATAAGCAGTAGGGGGCAACGTTTCCATGAAATTTGTAGAGGTTTGACCTTTTTATTTCCAGGCTGCAAAGATGAAAATATATCTATGCTTCCTGCAGTTGTTGTCAAACTGTCTGAACCAAATACTGATTTCACTGTGTTAATCTAAAATGCAGATTAAATTTCCTGCATTCTGCTAGGTGAGGAACAATATTTAACCAAAAATGCTGTACCTTTGTTTTGACAACATATGTTTTCTGAACTGTAGAAAAGATTATAAACAGCATATAACCAATAACTGCAATCGGTTTTCAATAATTCAGTGCCGTGATGTTTGGGTGATTTCTCCAGGTTTCTTTGCCCCTTGGCTTTGCTGGAATGAATACCTAGGCAAAGTCCTTAAGGGTTCTAGTATAGAAAATGAAATTCCTTAATGGGTTGTCAGAGGAGCAGCAGTGACCTGCACCATGCTGAGGATCTCACCCAGTCCCTCAACAGCTTTTACTTTTTTTTTCTAATGAAATGGAAGCAAATTGCTGGCTTTAATTAAAGCTGACTGTTTTTCTCTTAGTTTCTTGCTGGTGATGAATGATAGACACTCTGTAAAATCAGAGTGCAGTCCCTGCATGCTGAGTATGAAGCAGAGTCATTAAGATACGTGTCAGAAGGCAGAGCCCTAGCGGAGAGGGGAAAGGACAGAAGAGCCAAAACAGCTACACAGTAATGCTGGGATATAACAGCAGTAATGGTCTTGTCACTACACTCAAGGCAGGCCTCAAACTGACCTCTTAACCCATATATATGTTGATCTGTGCTCCTCAATTACGTTAATTCACAGTTTGAGTCCAAAATCGCTGTAACTGCGTTTTGCTTTGTTTCTTAATGCTGTTATCAATATATTTTTGTTTCTTTGACAGTGGAAAACAAAAAGGTACTAAACTGAAAAGACAAAATAATGAACAAGTGTGTGCATCTGTATGAGAGTCAGGCAGGAATATTTCAACTTTTTATTGCTTTTTCCTATTCTAATGGCTCTGTCTCCAGGAAATGTTTATTGTGCATTACCAAATGGCAATGTTGTTCTCCCAGAGGTCTCCCCTCCTCCACAGGTGACTATCTTTCACTCCAGGAGCAATCAGTGTATTAACCTCTCCCTCTCCTCTTCTATTGCACAAACATCAAAGTAGGGAAATGGAGCCCAGTATAAATCATTTGTGGTGCTCTGGATGAGACAGTTCTGCAGCACACTCAAATTCTGCCCTTCTTCAATCAGTTATGCTGCTTTTCACAGCTAAATCTTTTTTTTTTTTTTTTTCTTTTTTTTCCCCCCCCCCCCATTCTTTTTTTTTTTTTTTTTTTCTTTTTTTTCCCCCCCCCCCCATTCTTTTTTTTTTTTTTTTTTTCTTTTTTTTCCCCCCCCCCCCATTCTTTTTTTTTTTTTTTTTTTCTTTTTTTTCCCCCCCCCCCCATTCTTTTTTTTTTTTTTTTTTTCTTTTTTTTCCCCCCCCCCCCATTCTTTTTTTTTTTTTTTTTTTCATTTTTGTTCCCCCCACCCCTATTCTTGTTTCTTCTCTACTTCAGCGGTGATCCCCCTGACTGACTCTGAACACAAGTTACTGCCTTTGCACTTTGCGGTCGATCCTGGGAAAGACTGGGAGTGGGGAAAAGATGACAATGATAACACCAGACTGGCCAAGTAAGACCTTTCTGTAACTTTAGTGTTAAGCAGTAAAATGTCTTGAGCCGTACCTGACTGAAGTATTGGGAGAACTGCTAACAGAGAGGGCTTTGTTCCTGTTCTCTGGTTACATGGGAGAAGACGGGTGGGTCTCCAGCTGATGCTCACAATTCAGGCTGCTGTTACATCTCTCCCGGTTAAGAAGTATTGCTTTTTCTTTCAGGCTTTTTGACTGTTTGTTCCCTTCTTTTTTCATCCCTAGTTTGATTCTGTCTCTTGAGGCAAAGCTTAATCTCCTACACAGCTATATGAATGTAACATGGATACGCATACCATCTGAGACACGGGTAAGGTAAACTTCCCCCTCGGTCTAAACAAGATGAGAGGTACGAGGCACGACAGGGTGTTGTGTAGGGTAGGCAGCCTGGACTGGCCAGCTGCCTGGAAACACCTAAGTGTCCTAGCAGCAGGGACAAGTCACTCATGGCTCACTGTCATTGCAGTCGGGCTTATAGATTTTTCTAGCTATTTGTTTCAATAACACAGTTGTTTGTGTATTTTTGCAACTCCTACTCCATTCTGAAATGTATTTTCTAGCTTAATCTTTCTGTTACTTATTTCAGTAGTCCATGTAGTTCAGAAAAACCTTAAAATAGACCTTTTCTCACCATTGTTTTCTCAGAACTTTGGCTTGCTCTCCTAATGCCACTGTTAGGTCACCAATCCCAAGTCCTTTCTCTTTCTGAGAATACATTTGCACCCCTGGACAGCTCCCAGTTTAGAGTGGCTGACAAAAGGCCACAGGCTGGCGCTGAACTGGGGCCTGGTTCTTTCAGAAAGCTATTTTAGAACCATGCCCAGCTGGCACCTAGTCAGCTGCAAATTTCTCTGCAAATTACATTGAATAGATTGAGGGGTTAGTCTGGAGGCAAAAGGTTGCTAGGAGAGGATGGAGGTGATTTAGACAGCCTACACAGATGGGATTTGAAAGGAAGAACAGAACACAAAAGGAGAAAGCGTTTAACAAGCTGCAAGAGGGGAAAAATCCATTTTTCTACAGTTTCTACAGCGGTAGCTACCACATCAGAAAAAGGAGAGGCAAAATGGTCCTGTAGTTGTAAGCTGTGAGCCTGAAACTTGTGGGACCTGGGTTACCTCTCCCTGCTTCACCCCTGCCACATGAGCATGGTCAGGTCACTTTAGCACTCATTTTGTCCTTTGCCAAGTGGGGATAACAGCTCTGCTCCCGACTGGGTGGTGGGGTGCTCAGGGATTCCCAGGAGAGAGAGGACATTTAAGTACCCAGGGACAAGAAGCAGGCGTGCATTTCTATACTGGAAGTATATACGTCTCCAGAGCTTTTTTTTTCCTTTTTTTTCTCTGAATCATTATGGTTAGTTAAATGTTTCATGTTTATCTCTAGCAGATTTTAGCTTCATGGTGCCTGAAAGCAAGACTAAGTTTTGCAGGAGTAAATGAATAGGGACACATTTTAAAGTATCCTAGGATCCTCGTTATTGCATTTTCAAGAAAAATGTTTTATCACCTTAATTAAAATACAAATTGGAACTCAGACTTCTGACACCAGTTTTATCTGCATTGTATTTCCAATAAGAATGAATACACCTCATTGTATTCCTCAGTCCACTTGCTTAAGTTTAATGTTTAATATTTCAGGCAAGTTGTTTAGCTCTGGTGCATCGTACCTTTGATTTTCATGCACCAGAGACCTGAACAATGAAGAAATCAATTTAATTAAGTTGGTTTTTGAACATAATGAATTTTGGAATATTGCTATATACAGGTTTGTGTGCTGCGTCCCCCTCACAGCCTTCAGCAGAACCTCATTTCCCTTCCAACAATATTATCAGTTTCTTTCCAAGCTCTCTGTCTCCCCCCGGCTGAGGGGCAGCCTGTATTGTAGATGCTTCCTACTGAATGGCTGATGTCTGTATGCTGGCCAGCCGCTCAGCTGGACAACACCAGCAGGGAGGTTGTGCTGCAGCCTTCCCCTCGACAGGAGCACTAACTCGCATCTCTCCATTATTCAGACACTCGTTTTCACAGAACCTCTGAATGACTGACCTCTATTCTACATGTGCTTGAAATGAGCCAAAAGCTACTGTAGGAACAAGCGAGATACGTAGTCAGAGCAGCCAAATAAGCTTGATTTGGTGAAGAAAACAGTCTAAAATGCCAGTGCATAAATGAAAAAGTACATTTTAAATCAACGTTAAAATCTATATTGGATTTGGTTGGGGTTTTTTGCATCAAGTCCCTGTATGAAACTGATTTTGCTGTATCTAATTATAATTACTTTTTCATAGCAGGCCCCTTTGGCTCAACCAGAATCCCCTACAGCTTCAGCCGGGGAAGATGTTCAGTCTCTGGCTGACTCAATGGACTCGGACCGAGATTCCATCTGTAGTAATTCCAACGGCAATAATGGCAAAAACAGTAAAGAAAAAGAAAAGGACAAACAGAGGAAAGATAAAGACAAAAACAGGACGGATTCAGTTGCCAATAAAATAGGAAGCCTCAGTAAAACCCTGGGAATTAAACTGAAAAAGAATATGGGTGGTCTTGGAGGTCTGGTGCATGGCAAAATGAGCAGAGCCAATTCAGGGAATGGAAAAAATGGTGATGCAGTAGAGAAAGTCAAAGAGAAGAAGTCTAAGTCTCGAAAAGGGAGCAAAGAGGAATCTGGACAGTCTGCGAGCACTTCTCCATCTGAAAAGACCACTCCATCTCCGACTGACAGATCTAGCAACTCACCCATTGAAAAGATGAACACTAAACCCTTCTCTGACAAGCAGCCTGACCCATGGAAGTACAGCACTGACGTGAAACTCAGCCTAAATATTTTGAGAGCTGCCATGCAGGGTGAACGAAAGTTTATTTTTGCTGGCCTTCTTTTGACCAGTCACAGGCATCAATTCCACGAGGAGATGATAGGCTATTACCTGACCAGTGCACAGGAGCGTTTCAATGCAGAACAGGAACAGAAAAGAAAGGATGCTGAGAAAAAGGCTGCACTGAATGGGTCATCTAGTAGGAAACTGGAGCCAGAAGCATATTCGAAAGAAAAATTAGAAACATCTCCTCAGGATAGGGCATCACCCGTCTTGCCTCAAAGCCATACAACTCAACTGGTTTTAAAATTTAAAGATCGCACTAGTCCCACTCCTGGGTCATTTTCTTCACCTAGTAATGGCGCTAAGAAAAGCGGACCCATTCCAGTATCTGCCCACTATAGCCATACGCCACCTGTTCAAAGGCAAAGTGTCATCCATTTGCATGATGTCAACTCCAAGCCATCGAGCTTCCAAGATGATACCTACAAGCCAGTGGTTGGCACCTTAAAAACCTGTGCCACCTATCCCCAACAGAACAGGTCACTGTCTTCTCAAAGCTATAGCCCAGCCCGGATATCCGGTATCCGTACAGTGAACACAGTGGAATCGCTGAGCTATGCCATGCCTACTGAACACAAGTCTCAGACATACACAAATGGATTCAATACTGGCGATATTAGAGACTGCTTAGAATATGCTGATGAGGACGGTCCTCAGACCTGGTTGAACAATGATAAAAATCAAGGCAGAAGCACAGTTTGCCCAATATATTCCATCCAGCAGAACCGCTGTAAGAAGGAGAACTGTTCCTTTTATGGTCGTCCTGAGACTGAAAATTACTGTTCATACTGCTACAAAGAAGAGTTAAAGCGCAGGGAGAGAGAAAGCAAGGGACACAGGCATTGAGGATTCTTCCGTGACTACTTAGTTTTACCATTTTCTTACTTACAAAGTAAACAGTATTGAATTGCAGTAAAAGGAATCCTTAAAAAAAGAATAAAGGATTGATGAGTAAATAGTGTCTAGCTTTTCGCTTTTCGGGGGCAATGAGGAAATAATAGGATTAATTTATCATAAAAAAAAATATTATTTTCCATTTTGTCAGTGTCTTTTTTACACATACTGGTAAGCTGAAGGGTTGTTTACTCCTTTGTCAGTGCTGTGTATATGTTTGGTCAAAAATTTACTAATGGTGCCTGAATTTACACTGACATCACTCAGGTAGTAGAACGATAGGGGAAAGTCATAATACCGGAGATGTGGTGTTGTAGTAGGGTAGTATCTGCCTTGCAGACATTTGAAATTCTATAGCTATTACAAGAGTATTTTTTCCTCAGTAAAACCTAAATGTTTCATAGCCTTTTTTTTTCAGGAGGGTAGTGATTTTGCGTACTGCACATTTTTAACATGGCAGCATATTGCATTACTACTAATGTTTGTACTCACTTTTGTCTGAAATTGAATGATTCTGGGAAAATGGGAGTGAAAGGTCTGAATTCATGAGGGCTGTAGCTCTTCCGAGTTTTAAGTTCTTACCCGTTATTTCTACCTCTACATTTCCATAAAAAAGTAGATTTGAGCCACTTTTATTTGTACTGAATTTTTAAACAGATTTTGTAAAAAATACATGATGACTTGCAAGACTTCATGTCACAAAAAACCCCCACATAGTATAGTTTTGGGCACCTGAATTTCAGTAGTATTTTCATTGCTGTGTACGTTGAGAGAAATGTTAAAATAAAATTATAAAAATTTTATTAGATTTGGAAAATTTGATGACCAGCTAGGAAATTTAGGATCACTTTGGAGCTGAATGAACTGCTTGTCAAAACAAATGTACTGCATCAATAGATTCCTTTAGCTATTGCATGAATTTAATCATTATTTATTCGTTCCTTCTCAACATTATCGAGTGATAGTTATTGCAAACATAACTACTTCGTTGGCTCCGCCTGTTTTTGAGTCTTCTCCTATAGTGAGTTATGTACCTACCAGGCGGTTCCAAGATGGCTATAAAATACCTTCAGTATGAATGGCAACTCCTAGCACAGATTTGCACAACTCTGATATCCAAATATTTACACAAGTATTTGCAATACTTTTGAAAATAAAACTTTGCTCATAGAAACGTTCCTGTAAAGCAGGCACCGCAAATACTGTTAAAGCAGACGTATGACATTAGGAAGTTTTCTTGAATATAGTACTTGCCGTTTTCGCACCCCTCTACCATCAACTGGCATAATGTAGTAAGAATAGATCTTTTAGTATTGTTACACTTGTAAGCAACGGCTCATTTACTGTCTACCTACTTTTTTTTTTAAAAAGATCTCATTTTCCACAAATAGGTGACGTACTGCCTTCAAGACTGCTTGCTCTGCCGCTTAAAGGTGCAGAACATGAGTTCTGCCTTACTCGTTATGGAATAGCACTTTCCTGGCCTGTGCAGGAAAGATTCTTTGCCAAAGAGTCTTTGTTTCTGATTCTTTTCTGCTGTACCCCGATTTTTACTCTTGGCATGGGTGGCATAATTTCACTGGTGTACAGTTAATCCTAGTTAGCCTTGAAACCAAACCTAATGTAGTCTGTGAAATAAGATACACAAACTTACGCTGACGTGTACTGGCTTTCAGGAAAAGCACATAAGCTTTTGCTAATGTCCCACTGAAATTTGTGGAACAGAGCACATACTTAAAATTGACCATATCTTTAGGTTTTCTGCTGAATGGGAGGTTTAAAGAATAGTTTCAAAATAAGTCCGTTAGCCACTCCTAAAAAGTCATGGTCTTTGCCATATTAGCTGTTCCATGGATCCAGACCTGTACTTCATATTTTTTGCCGTACACTGAGCGTACACGGAATGTTACTGCATTTGCATTCCTTCATAAAAGGGAAATACTGGTATGTGTAACGAGAGGTTAAAACTCCATGTGACTTCTGTCCTTAAGGTAAGCACATTCTAAAACCTATGTCTCCGGTTGCGTACACTGGTAAGCAGTGTCCTTTTTTGGTTAACTCTTGTGATTACATGTAAGTTCTCATTGCCAAAGAGATCTGTGATTGCAGATCATGCTAAAACAAGCCAGATCATGTTAAAACAAATCAAATATCATACTTGATTGTATTTGTTGCTGAGAGTGAGAAAACTGACAGGATAAAACTTCATGAAAAAAAGAAATATTTAAGAATTCTTACAGCATTAGAGTAGCAGTAGCATTTCATACTCTGAGAATTGCTTCTGTGTAAAGTTGTGTTTAAGAAATACTACATTAGCAGCAACCTACACCAGCCTGTGTATTTAAGTCAGTTGTATCCTTTCTGAATAAGGAAAAAAGTAACAGCACATATGTAAAAATAAGCAATTACCATGAGAATTTGCTGCTTCCCATTTTTCAGAGGAGTTGTTTCTATAGTATGTTTTTAAGATCTACTCACAAAAGAAAGAGGTTTACAGCTGGTCAATACTTAGATAACTTCCTCTGTTCTAAATTATTGAATAGGTTGTACCTGTATGTTAGATTAGTTTGAAAAATTAATTGGTCTTCTGAATAATAATAGGCTCGTCTGTATGTCTGTATAGGATACCAAACTTCAGTGTTCACTGTCATCCTCAAGTCACTCAGATATTTCCATAAATATTTACCACTATTGGATTGCGCATTTTAAAATATCTGTTATATGAAATACCGACAGAACACTTTTTAGTTGTGCCTGTTTCCTCAGAATCCTTTTCTTGGTATATCTTTCAATAATTTGCTTAATATTGCTGTTTTCTTTTAGAACTCTCTTCAAATATCCCACTATTCTCTTGTCCCTTAACATTTGATATTGAAAAGAAGTCGCAGGCCTACAACGCAATTTGCCAGTTAAAATCTACCCATCTTTTCCTAGTAGTTGTCCTTTTTTCTGGATAAGTAATACCGTGATTTTTTTTTTTTCTTTTTTTGTTTCTGAGCTATTTGTGGCAGTTGTCTAAAGGGGATACCATAGTTGGTATTAAACAGTCCAAACATGCAGAAACAGTGCCTCCTCCTGAAGAAGTGATTGCCCCATTAAAAGAAGAGTCTAGCTATAAGAGGAAATTTTCTACCTATTTTTTTCAGAGAGAATTCCCAGCTGCTCATGAGTTGCATTCTCCAGCCCTGAAAGAAATCGTGTCATTCCTTAGCTAGGTGTGAGAGGGAATAATCTTCAAATGTATTTTTCTGTTGCACTAAATGGCTAACCTTTGACTGCATTTGTGGTTTATTTTTCCTTACGTTGAAAGCCTACGTAGCCCACAGACCAGCAAGTCCTTTTCCGTGCCTGATCTGCCCTTTCTATACCTTCAGAGCTTGTTAGAGTTACCACTTAGTCCCAGCTGTACAGAAATCAGCTTTGGTTTCGGAGGACCCTATTCATTTCTTCTGTTAGCTCAAGTGGCTGCAATACACATGCATATTATTGCATTTGTATGTGTTTTTTTCCTCTTCTCTCCTTGATAGTGATTCAACAGTTATCACTGTTGTCCAGATTTCAAAAGTACAGACTAAATCCTGAGTAGGCTACACCTTCCCAGAACAGATCCAAAATCACCAGGAGATATTTAGGTTGGAGGAAGCTGGAATTTTTTTAATGTGTGAATGTGCAATTTTTCTAATTTAAAAGAGGCTTGAACCTATTATGCAATTTTTTTACTTTGTTCATAAACTCTGATACAAAGGTCTGTTCGTAACAGAGGACGCCTGTAATACATAATGGGTTTCAGTCACACTTTATATTAAAGTTCCATTTAAAATGCTTTATAAAGTGTTAATAAACTATTGCTAGACTTTACAAGTATTTTTTCAGATGTGGGTATCAGTTGTAGCATATGGCTAACAAGCAGCTCATTCAGAAGAAGGTGGTGTAGATTATCAAAAGTAACTTCAGATATTTTGGATTTTAAAACAATTGATTAACCTTTTGTTATTGTGGTTCATTAAGCTTTATAAATGCAATGGAACTATAGTGTGTGACCCAGCTTTCTTTAGCAATTAGTTCCTTCTTCCTAAGTCAAAGATAACATTAAGGGGATCAGTGAAAGAAAGGTGCTGTACTTGGAAAGTTTCGTGTTGCTTATTTCTTAAGAAGTCTAAATAGGCCAAGTGAAGTCTTCAGAGCTGTCTTTTTGAAAATTGCAAAACTCATGATGTGAGCAGTATTACTTGATACAGAAAGCATTGAGGAGAGATGGATTTGCGCACCGTTTGGCCGCAGATCAAAGCAGTCTGCTGAGGCAATATCAGTCCTTGTACATATAGGCATATTCAGGGTAATCTACTTCTCGTGTGATGAATGTGTAGATATCAAAAAATGCACAGCACAGATCTGACAAAATACTGCCCTCTAACTCCGATTCTGCAAACGGTTACACTGGTGCTCAACTTCACCAATATGAATAGTCTCCCTGACATCAAGGAGACTGCTTATTTTCAGAAACTTAACATAACTGTTAAGGAAAAGCATAAATGTTTGTGGGATCAAGGCCTGAGCCCTTAGCCAGTGTGTGTTCCCCTCAGGCTGCCTGACGTTACTCTTCCAATGAGAGAATCAATGAGAATTTTGCCTGAGGAGTAGAGGGAAGCCTTAGGCCTCTCTGGGTTAAATCTGCTGTCCTCTGAAATCTGTGGACAGAATCCCGTTAGTAGTGGGGGCCTTAAATCAGGTGCTTCATGGACACACAAAATACTTGCAAGCTGGACATGGAAGTAAAGTATGAGCTAGCAAGGGATTAAGGTCTTCATAACACTGGGAATGTTTTGCACAGGTAAAAACCCATATGTTAATAGAAACCACAATAATCTCAAATAAACATAGGTCCAGAGAAGCAAAATAACTGATGCTGATTGTAGATGGCTTTTCAGCTTAGTGTATTTTAAGTCTCTGTCAGTGTATTTGAAGAGTATTTGTTTTAAGGTATGGCAGCTTATGCAGAGGATCACCAAACAGTATATAGCATAGAATTTAAATTATTTCAGTAACAAAAACTAGTA